GTGTAGTGAGGTGGGAGTCGGTCTCTTCTGCCAATTAATGAGCAATAGGACAAGAGCAAGTAGCCTCAAACCAGGGGAGGTTTAGATTGGAGATTAGGAAAAATTTCTTCACCAAAAGTGTTGTCAGGCACTGGAACAAGCTGCCCAGGGAAATAGTTGAGTCGGTGTTCCTGGAGGTATTTAAAAGACGTATAGATGTGGTGCTTAGGGACATGGTTTAGTGGTGGGCTTGGCAGTGCTAGGTTAATCATTAAGCTCTGATCTTAAAGGTCTTTTCCAACTTAAATGATTCTATGATTCTATTCTATGATTCTGTTTCTAAGGATTGAATGTTTCTTAGTCAAACTATTTGTAATTTTGATGAAGGTGATTTTTTTCCTAATGCTTTTTCAAAAGCTAAATATATACTGAAACTGCAGCTAGTACCTTCTCAAAGTAACATGGCGATAGCTACGGATTTCTGCCCACTAGGTACCACAGCAATGAAAAGATCATGTATTTCTTCATGCCTGTCAAAGAAAATGTTCAGGAACCAATCTGGAGACCCTTATTAAAACACTTGTCTGGTATTTTTTTTCAACACTATCAGCTGTTTTCTCCTATAGCTCTTCATAAATGGTGGTTTTGGGTTTCGTTTTGATTTAATGAACAATTTAGTTAATTTTTTTTTTTTATAAGGAAATTAAATGCCATGTCTGCAGCTACCAACTCTTTTTACGTAGAAATCCAGATATGAAGAGATATGTGAAACACTTTAGAACACATAATTTAAACGATTTGCTTAGAAGTCTTTCACGGTAATACAAAATGTTGTATTAAAATAATAGAGCTTTTTGTTACATACAGGTGGACTTTGTTTTATTAGGTGGGGATCTTTTTCATGACAACAAACCTTCCAGAAAAACAGTACACACTTGTTTGGAGACACTAAGAAAATACTGCATGGGTGATCGTCCTGTTCAGTTCGAAATTTTGAGTGATCAGGCAGTTAATTTTCATTATAGCAAGTAAGTATGTTCCTATAAATTATGATATAAGGTTTGGTTTGTGTATTGGGTGAACGTGTTGTGATTTTTATGGTGTGTATCCTCCATGACTGGAACCTTGAAGTTTTAGGCCTGTTTGTGTGGGATGTTTACATCCAGTTTACAGGATGACTTCACCTATCATCTTTTATAATCTAAGTCTATAAAGGAATGCACATAATTTTTTGAGAAACTTCTGAATGTGCTGTGACATTTGATACATTTATGTAACGTATCGTTTCTGTCCTGCAAGTACAATGTAAGTAGACCAATTTACATGAAGTGCTGTGGTAAAATCAGCAGAATTCTTTATGTGTAAACGAAGGTTGTACAGCCCAGTCCGCTGCTCTTGCACGTACCACACAACGTGGTGTACAATTCTATTCACAGACTTGCTCAAAAAAAATAGGATCTTTTTGCTACCCTGTTCCTAGTGGAAGTGTCATTCTAGTCCATGAATAAGAATCTTCTTACGCTGTGCAATTTAAGCTTATTCACAGCTATATAGTACTCATTTGTGCTGCTGTCGTCATGTATTTGTGATGACGTTCATTTGAAGAGAATATTGGGCATTGTCCACAAATTTGCAGATATAGTTTAACTTTTTTTTCCTCTTCTTCTTCAGGTTTCCGTGGGTGAACTATCAGGATGGAAATCTCAACATTTCTATTCCAATTTTTAGTATTCATGGCAATCATGATGATCCCACAGGGGTAATTATTATCATAATTGTACTATACTGTTATATTACAGAAATAATATTATAGAGATAGAGACTTGTATAGAAATACAGTTCTTGGAGAACAGGCTAATTTTAGTCAGTTGCTCCACTCTTCATGTAAATATTTTGTTGTATCTTTAGGAATTCTAATAATTAGTTACAACAAGTTAAATGTGACATTCAAAAAGAGAATGGAAAGAAGTTAAGGGATCTGTATGAACTATGTTTAAATTCTTAATTTATGTAGATTTCTGTCATTAAGAACAGAATCACTTTTCATGCCAAGAAATGTCAACCTTTTAGAAAGTTTCTAAAATGAATTTGATCTGTAGAGACTGAAAGCTTTTTTCTTAAAGAAGGGGAATTTTGATACTTTGCCTTGCGCATATGCAATTGATATGCATCTTACATTTTCAGGGAGGATAAGCTAATAATGATGAAATGCTAGCTTAAAAATCAATGACTAAAGGTTAGCAGGAAAAGGATATTTAGAAAGCAGCAAAACACATGTGCTGAATTAATAATTTTGCATTTTATATCAAATAGCAGTGTATCATGGAGATGAGTGTTTTAACAACAGACGTTTAACTTTGGACCTACTATGAAGTAGTTAGTTTAACCAGATAATTTTCTGTAGTAGTTTAGAGACTTTTGCTGTTTGGGATTTTGTTTTGTTTTGTTTTTCTGAATGATTTAATGTTTAATTTCATGTTGTTCAAATGAAACCAGACTTGTGAGGAAAAGGGAGTTGCTTCTGTACCCACAAGTACTAAAAAAAAAGCTAATATATGTGGCGGGGTTTTTCAACTGCAGCAGTTACTGAAAGAAAGATATTCTGTCTCCCTTTTGAGACTGCTTCACTTAGATTTTAAACACTAAATGTTCTATTCAAAATTTATATATTTGTTTCTTAATATTTTCTACAGACAGATGCACTGTGTGCGTTGGATATTTTAAGCTGTGCAGGATTGTTGAATCACTTTGGACGTTCACCTTCTGTGGAGAAAATAGATATTAGTCCTATTTTATTGCGTAAGGGTAGAACAAAAATTGCACTGTATGGCTTGGGTAAGTATTAGTCTGGTAAACTGTTCATGTATTACTGAAGCTCAAGAGGTCTAAATGAAGTTGCAACAAACATAGTGCTATAACAAACATGAAGGTAATGCTAAATTACAGCTTACCAATTCTGTGACAGTGTCAGGTTTCTCCTTCTGCTGCGTTGTCACTGGCTGACAGTGGGTTTTTTTGCTTTTATTTTAAAATAAATCCTTCAATAACTTTATTTCTATACTTTTATTGGTCTTAAATGAACCCTGCTTAAGTTGGCGATAGATAGTGCCTGTGTATCAAGTCAGGGCAATCACACTCTGAAATTCTCACTGTTGTGTATTGAGCTTACTTCCTCCTGTTTAGGTAAAACTTAAACACTGTACCATTTTGGTTATATTTAAAAACATAAACTGTCTGAGCAGAAACCTAATGTCTGACATGTCTGTCTGAAGTGGTTCGTAAGTAACATCTGTCACGGGTCACCTCGGTTTCTTTAAAGAAACTTATGGAGAGTTTCATATTTTAAAGGCGTTCTACAGTGGGTTTTCAACTTCAGTTTGTCCCTTTCTATTTTCTCCTCCACCTTCCCCTCTATCCTCACTTCTTCCTTAGAATGAATATGTTTGACAGCTTTCTGTCTAGAGAAGTTAACTATTAAGGTCTTAATTTTTCCCCCTTATTCTATGTCCAGTTATGAGTGCTTAAACACTTACTTTTATAGCTAGAAGTTAAGTACTAGTTGGCCGTGGCTTCATGCATTGAATGAGATACGTTAAAAGCTTGCTAGATGTTCTAAGGGTTAGTAAGTAGTGAGTGTTCTAAAAGCACAATACAAAATTTTTCAAAAAGCATTTCAATTTTTAATACCCAAAATCATTACTGGGAAATGCAACACCTTTTTAAGGTATGGGTGTTGCTGCATGAAAATATTCATGAGATGTTTCTTTGAGCTTGTGCCAGGATTATATACTCTCTTGACTTTCTCTGATTTAGAGAGCGCTCATTCTTATACAACATATATAAATGCATGATGAAATCTGGGTATGGATGGTTTGTTTTTTTTTTTTCTTTTTCCTTGTTAAAACCATCACCAAAATAATCAGTGACAAACAGTTCAGAAGTACTGCAGACTTTTTCCTGCTGCATGCAAAAATACAAAGCATGTTTAAGAACTCCTATCTCAATAGTATCTGTTTTTAGACTCCACCTTACAACAAAATATACTTCTCACTCTGTCAACAAGAAACAAAACGCCTCTTCTAATATTTTTAATTCTGCCCATAGTCAGTTGTTTGGCACAGGAAACTGGCAAGAGTAAAGGTAGATTTCGTGTTAAAATGTCTTATTTTCACAAGTCTATCTAGTAAAATAGCCAATTTATACTTTGATCTTTTCAAATTCATAATCATGCGTCAGACTTCTTAGGTCATGAAAAGGAAGATCTGATCTTGCCACAAAGTTGTATTCTTCATGCTTTTTTAAATAGAGTTGCTAATAAAAATACTGTAAAATAAAGAGTTGATTTACCACACAAAAATGATTTAATTTTTTGTTTTGTCCACTCCAGGAGCTATTCCAGATGAGAGGTTGTATCGTATGTTTGTCAATAAACAAGTGACCATGCTGAGACCAAAGGAAGATGAAGATAATTGGTTTAACTTGTTTGTGATTCATCAAAATAGGTAACAGTGTTGAATGAATTATGGTGATTTTTAAACTTACTGTGTTTCTTCATTAAAGTACCTTGAAAGGGATAGATGAGAAAGTCAGCTATGCTAGTCAGTGCTTCTTGTGAGCAGCTGATTTCTTAAGATTTTCCCAAATGAAAGCATTGTTTTACAGCTCTTCTTACAGAAGAATCATAAAGGAAAAGAGTTGAAATAAATGAGTTAGGAATGTTGGGAAATCTCTTCCCAAACTCTTATAGTTAGTGGCAGTGGAGGGTTTGTAGTATAATATGCATATAATTAAATCTTGTCTGCTTGTTAGAGCTGAAAGAGCACTAAACTTCATACTGTATTTTCTATCCTTGTTTGAATCCTAATTTGGCAAGTACTGTATCTTCCCTTGCATGCTGTACTTTACAGTTTCTCTTGAATAGAGGGTAGGTAGCATGTGTTCTTTCTGCATACACACGTCTCCAAGCAGTGGCAGTAGGAACAGGCAGAGTTCTTTTCCAAAGCCTTTCTTACAGGTTTTCCTGATTAAAAGTGCAATCCTCATGTGCAATTAACAGTGAGGCAGAAGGAAACAAATATGGCTCAGATAACCCGGTGTCCTGATCTCCCCAGTAGGCTGGAGGAGCTCACTCCTCCTCCATCTCCTCTCTCTTCTGGAAGGAGACGGGGGGTGGTGTGTGCAATGTCGGTTTAATTCAGTGGTTTTTACACCAGCATTTAAAAAAAAAAAAAAAGACCATGAGGTGTTATAAAAGCATTCACATGGATGAAACCCTGAAGTCTTGCAAGCCAAGTAAGAAGAAAAGGGAGATCCAAATAAAAGGAAGGGAGCAGGAAAGAATGAGCTGTGTGAGTTGCCTTTTTGTTTAATCAAACACTTTAAACAATTGCATAAGGAATAAATGTGAAGAATGCCTGTATTTTTGCTGGAGTTTCTATATCACTTTAAGTCAAACTGGTATTTTTCTCCTCCTTCATTTCCCCCCTTGCCCACCCATCACTGTACACATTCTAATTATTTTTCTCTTTTCTTGAACAGGAGCAAACATGGAGCTACCAACTACATTCCAGAGCAGTTTCTAGATGACTTTATTAATCTTGTTGTGTGGGGTCATGAACATGAGTGCAAAATAGCTCCATGCCAAAATGAACAGCAACGTTTCTATGTTTCTCAGCCAGGAAGTTCAGTGGTGACATCTCTGTCCCCTGGAGAAGCTGTGAAGAAGTGTGTGATCCTTTCTTTTTGTTCTTGTTTATCCCTTGCCTTATGTCTCTTGTGTGTTCTGTTGAGAAAGAAAAAATACTTCTATTAAGTATGAAAGGACGTGTGTTATAGTGTGGATTAGCTTCAGAGCATGACATGACAAATGAAGTAGATGGAATCAGTGCCTAGAATAACTTCTGCTTTACTTAGGATTAAACCTAACATTTGAAGCAAATGGAACTTAGCTAAGAGGAGTTACACCCTGATAAATTGGAATACAAGGAGCTGTGTACATTTAGGGAATAACCATAATATAAATATAATAGAAGTTTGGCAGGGCCAGCCCTGAAGTACAGATCCAAGAACTTCCTATAGCTTTTGAACTTTTGTCCCTGAAAAGTAAACATGAATTTAAAACAAATCTTTATACTGTAGTCCTCTTAAGTTTATCTTCTAGTAAGTTTCCTTTCTCCTTCTAGACACATTGGTTTGCTGCATGTTAAAGGAAAAAAAATGAAAATGCAGAAGATTGCTCTAGAGACAGTGCGAACTTTCCACATGGAGGATATTGTTCTAGCCGATCATCCAGATCTTTTTAATCCTGACAATCCTAAAGTCACTCAGGCAATACAAGCATTCTGCATGGAAAAGGTAACTCGTAATGCTATATAGATAACAGTGTATGGACAAAGAATGGGATCTGTGACTGGTTTTGAGACTGGAGGATGAGAAATCTTGTGTCTTGCCCTGTATTATTTGAGAAGGACTTAGGCAGTGTTTCCATAGGAAGCTGATTCTGTGACATTCACTGCAGCCTTGGCTGCCAGATTCTATGACTGGGATGAGCTATTAAAGTAGGCTGGAACTGCTTTATGGGGGTCCATATCGTCTTTGTACAAAAACACCTACCTAAGAGTTGGTCAGTGTTGGGTGTGCACTTTGGAACCAGCATAAATGCATGCACGTAAACCCTGAGAGCTAGGCTGTGCAGTGTGAAGTGGCAGAAGTAACTAAGCCGGTTTATTAATTGCTCTTGGTTCTTAGGTCTGTGTTAAGTCTCTTCCTGCTTTTCCCTGGAACTAGAAATTTAGCAAAGGATAATGGCTCTAAAGTAAATAGTATGAGTGATCAGTGATGTAGATGCTGCTGGACTATGCTATATCTGATGGTCTTTAAGGTCCCTTCCAACCAAACCATTCTATAATTATTTATTTTTAATAGCTCCCCCCTGCTGCTGGATGTATTTTAAATTATACTTGAAGCATTCAGGCATCTGTAAAAGAACAAAGTGGAACTGAATTTCTAATTCTGCTTCACAGGTTGAATTGATGCTGGACAATGCAGAAAGAGAACGCTTGGGAAATCCACGCCAGCCAGAGAAGCCTCTCATAAGATTACGAGTAAGAAATTGTTCAGTTTGAATTGCTTTGTTTTGAAAGGTCACTGTGAAAAGTTTCAAAGCAAAATCATGCTTTTTGTATAAACATGTAATATATAAAATTTCTTACTGTGTACAGGCAAATATAAATCACCTTCATACCATGATTCTGTTTAACTGTGGTATAACTACTATTCTGCAGTAAAGGACGAGATTGGTCGTAAGTGTCCTTCGCTGCTGGTCTGAGTAAGGGCATCAAAAGTGGCTATTTACAGAGAAGTTTTTCTTAAGTCGTATTGCCCTGTGTTTGTTCCTAACCTAATTTGTGTAGACTTTACTGAACACTAGTAAATGAAACAAGTTAGGAACAAGTTATGAATCTGGGCTATTATTAGCTATTCTGTTAATATTATTATTAGCTATTATTATCCATTAACTATTCTGCATAGTATGGTAAAGCATTAATTTTAGGTTAACTTATTTTTTACTTTCATTTTTCCTTTGAAGGAAAAACTCATCTTGATTTGTGTGGCTTCTCTGTTTCTGTTTGTTTCATATTTTAATTTTTCCTTTCCTCTCTTAGGTTGATTATGCAGGTGGCTTCGAACCATTCAGTGTACATCGTTTTAGCCAGAAGTACGTGGATAGGGTGGCTAACCCAAAAGACATCATCCACTTTTTCAGGCATCGTGAACAAAAAGAGAAAAATGGTAATTATAAAGGAAGGAATCATTGGCTTGCCTTGGTTTTCATTCTTCCTTTATTTTGTTACCCAGCACTTGCAAAGGCTTGGTGTCTACCTTCTAATGTGTTGTAGGACGAGTAAAGATGGATAGCCTCATTTAAGAGTATATATTACACAAGTAGTTCTTTTCTATTTCTGGGTTTGTCTAAAATTCTGATATTCAGCACAGCATCTTCTGACAGTTATTCATAAATAATTCCTTTTTCTTTGGCCCCAAACCATATTGAGTTGCTTATAGTAATACATACAGCCCCATACCAGACCGAGTTACTCCGTGATTCTATGATAATTACCGTGAAAGGCATTAAACGTCTCACTTCTGAGACTTCTCAGAATGAGGTGGTTGGTTTTGGGTACTCTGCAGGTAAAGAGATGGGTGTTGTGCTTTTTCCCTTTGTTTTTTAATTTTATTGCTGTAGTAGTTAATTTGTTTATACCTAAAATAATAATGAAGGGGATGGGCTTGAGAGATGTTTGTATATTTAAAAGAAAAAAAAAACCAGGTCCAAATGTATGACAGGATTTTGTTTGCCCTAATTAATCATGTGTATGAGGTGCTCTTGGCTTGTGTGTTCCAGGTATGTCTCTATTCAAGCATTTGTGCAAAACAAATAATAGCTGTTACTATTGTAGCATTTCTCACTGTGCCTAGAATTTTAAATAAATGGTTAATAGATGCCCAAATACTGGATTTGTAATAGTTGCTAATGAAGATACAGCTTGCACAAGAACATACTGTACTAAAGAGCTGTTAATATTTCACATTAGTGCATTGTAAGTACTCCAATTCCATTGACAGTTTTTACTTACACGGTCAGTTTTTATCAAGTTCAAAACATCGTGTTTCATGAATAAAAACTACTTTTAGTGAGTTGTTTTTTTTTTTAATTATATTGTACTGATCTTGTTTTATTTTGCTTTGTTTTTTTTTTAATAGTTGTGTAATCTCATTAACAGTTTTGGAATACAAGATAACTACCACATCTGTCACCATGTTTCATCAATACATTTTAATTTTCCTACTTAACGTGCATGTCAGTTTCAGGAAGGGAATGTAAAAAGAATACGATGGTTCCTTGCATTGCTTTATTAGATATCCCCTAATACAAGGGAGGTGACTAATAAAGCAGTTAAAATTTTCAGTGCATGTGCACATAATACTATGGTTCAGTACAGGTGGTTAAGACTTCCTGAGCTCAGAAGTTGTTACTACTTATTTTGTTGTAGCTGCTTATATAGCAAGGCTAACAAAACGGTGATTTGTGCTTGCATGTAGCAGATGTCTGGAAACAGTCTGTAGTCACTTGATACTGCTTTGCATGGTGTGTGGTAACCTCAGTTGATTATCCCTTTCATTCTTCGGTCATTCCTACCTTGCTGCCCGAGAATGGGGCAGCCTTAAAGAGCTGTGGACATTTTCTACTGAAAATCAGTCAGCGTGCTGTGGAGGAAAATTTCTTCTCTAGTAATAGAGTTACTTATAAAAAAACCCTTGTGCTTTGATGGATCCTTTGATTTTCTTCCATTTGTGATCTTCCAGAGTTTGATTATAATAACTTTCAGGATTAGTGTTCAATTTATGATTCCAGACATTTGGTAGTTAGAACACTTTGTGTCTGCTAGAGGTGGTGTTTAGTTCTACAGTTACTGCATCCGTTATGTTTACCTGTGTTTCCAGACAATAGGCTCCACAGTTCGAATAAAAAACCTTTAGGTATAAAAGGGACCACAACTCTTAAGAGGCCTATATTAACCTTTTTTCCTATTACTGTCAGTGGGATGGTAATAATTAAAAGCTGCAAATGTGTGTGACAGTGCCACTGTGCTTTTCTATTCTAGACAGTGATTTTAATTTTGGAAAACTGGTTAGCAGACCTGCTTCTGAGGGGATGACGCTGAGGGTGGAAGACCTTGTAAAGCAGTATTTTCAGACAGCGGAGAAGGTATCTTTCTAACTTATATGTTTGGTTTTTTTAATGGAATATCATCTTTTTATCTTTTTTTGCTTCCTTAATGGAAGTGTGCCCTGAAAGACTCTGAAATTCACCAAGAAGTGAATTTATTTCCTGTATAACTGTGTGTGAATTTCTGTATGAAGTATATGTCTTAGGTTAACAAGTAACTGTTGTACATAGGTTGTATAGGGTATGTGAACACATGCTGGTTTGAGAACATTGTGATAACTCTGCACGTGAACTTCCAGTGTCTGCTCTGTACTAAATGACGTCATGTTCTTACAGGAGGAAAATGTGAGACAGCATGCTCCGAGTGAGAAGCTACCTTAATTTACTATAAGGTCAATGTCAGGCTGTACCGTTTACTATTACCAGCTGACTTGGAGTAACTTGTTACTTTGCAGTATATTTGTGTCCTCAGACATAGTGCAATTCTACCTTATACTTAAAGCAGAGCAGGGAGAAGGAAGAAAGCCCCCCAATAGTTTGCTTTCTCCCTACCTTTTCATTAAACCGGATTTATTTCCCTTTCCTGACACCAGGGCAGTAACATCTGAGAGGTAAAAAATAATAATCAGTGAGTCAGGTGCCCAAATGTTTGATCTAGATGGCCAAGCATAACTTTCAGAAGCTACTTCAGAACATGCGTTAGAGAAAGTCATTAGAGCAAGGATTCCTGATGTAAAGATCCCCCAGATTATATCATCTTGCCTAACCTTAGACACATGTTAGGTGTCAGTATTAGAATGGTGTAAATCATGCCCTGGAAGGGCTATTTGCCTTCCAAATATGATAGTGAACCCAAGGTCACTAGTTCAGAAGTAGGTACTTCTTTGAATGTGTGCCACCCCTAAGTCCCATGGGGAGGGGTAGCAGTGTCAAAGACAGGGCACTGTGTTATTCTATAAAAATAAATTTTACTTTTAATCTCTTTTCCTCCCTTGTTCTGCAAAATTGTCCCTGTTACACCATCTTCCCAATTTGTTTGTATGTTCTTGTATAAACGGCTCAGTTACTGTTCCCTGCATTGGAGGCCTGCTTCATCAGCTCAATACCTGCAAAGACTTGAAAGAATCCGTTGATGTTCTGGGAAGGCTTGCAGTAGGGGGATAGTATGTTTTGAGTTAACACTGGTGATGAAAGAAGGAGGGAGGGAAAAGCATGTTGCACCCCAAAATGATGATAGGGTTCTTAAACATTGTGTTAAGATAGCTTGTGCTTCAGGCTTTGCTAGACACCTGATCTTGTCTGATTAGGGAAACAAAAGAGTCCTTGGACCTTGAGGTGGGACAAGGCTGTAGTTGAATATTCAAAAAATGTTAGACCAAAAACGTCTAAAAACTACCAGCCTCTGTTCAGTTTCAGTGTTGCTGATAAGCTGAGGCCTGGGAATTAAAATCACTGCTATTTGTCTCTTTAGCAAGCTTTTTATTTTTTTTCCTTTGGAAGAAAACTTAGTTGCTGAAAGTCAACATGAAAGTTCTGCATCATTACAATCAGTAACTCTTTTGAGATGCTTTTTTTTTTTTGTAAACTTATTTTATAATAGCTGTAAAATTTATTCCACTGCGCAGCATTATATCAGGGAGGTTTTATGCTTCCGATACAACCCTCAAAACAGTTCCTAAAGGACACGTGGAAGGATCAAAAATCATTAATAAGCACCTATAATGCTTATTACTAAGAAATTGTGCTGTAGTTTGCAGACAAAATAGGCTGCTGTTTAAACATTACTATCCATAAGGGGGTTTCATTCTCAGAGTGCCTCTTCTTACTGTTGGGAAGGAGGGTAGAGAAGAGAATGGCTGCGAAACACCACCAGTAGCATCTACTACTTTTACTAATTAGTGTTCGTAGTATTATCTTAATGTAGAATATCTTGATGAATATCATCTCACTTGATGAATATGTGAGAACTATTGGTATTTACAGAATTGCATTTCAGTAGAGTAGACTTCTGCTTAATAGCTCTTAATGCTTCGTAATAATAATTTGTCCTGCTCTGTAACTGCCATTTTAGAATTTTACAGTAAAACTGAGTAATTTAGCATCTGTCATAATTCAGGACCTGTTTTTAATAGTGGTTTTATGTCTCTGCAAGTTGATCTTTAGTTTAAAAAAGGGAGGGGAACTAAGAAAGAATACAGTTTACCTTTTCTCAGCCATACATTTCAGACAAATTATTTTAGATATGAGTAGCAGTATGGTTTCTTTACTGTTTGTGAACTTTTTTCTTTGACAAGTGTGGAAAATACTCTGTTAAGTAGATGCTAGTAGCAAGAGGGTTGTGACTATATTATGATGAGTAACATGTTTGTTTATTGCTGTACTTTTCTCTGATTGAAATCTTCAGTGCACATTACTATTTTTGGAACCAACTTAATGTAATATTTATCTGAAACGGCAGGAATATTGCTCACTTTCTTTGATGGCAGATGCTTCTTAACAAAATGTTTTCCCCAATTATAAAGAAAGTACAGCTTTCACTTCTAACTGAAAGAGGAATGGGAGAAGCAGTGCAGGAGTTTGTGGACAAGGAGGAAAAAGATGCCATAGAAGAGTTGGTGAAATTTCAACTGGAAAAAACACAGAGGTTTCTTAAGGAACGTCGTACTGATGCAGAGGAAGGAAAAATAGACGAGGAGGTAATATTCTGTTAATGTCAATTCCTTAGGACAGGTCAAGACAGATAGTAGAAAAAACAGTGCTCAAACCTGGTTTAATAGATTTGCCTGTGTATAGAGAATGGCCAACACTCACCTCTAGTAATTTTCTGGAACTAATAAATACGCTGATGAAGTTTCACATACATAGTTTAAAACCTTGTATTGAAAATGGGGTTTAGGTATGCTTCTACTGATTCTGACTTTATTTCCACACGCATGCATACAAAAGATCTGTCATGCTAATATATGTAGAACTCTCTCTCTCTGTCTCCCTCCTCTGTGAGTAAGGTGGTAGATATAACCTCTTAGCTTTTTCACATTGGCTTAGGGAAGAGTACAAGAACAGGGCAAGCATAAAGGAAACTTATCATTCAGGTGCTCTACTAGCTTCTAACTGCTTGCAGCTCAGGGTGTCCCAGAGACAAACCTGGTTTATGTGTATCTAGTAACCCTTAATAGACTTCTCTGTCAACTTGTTGAGCTTCCACATGAGCCCATGGATTCAGTTGTAATATTCAAGCATTGTATGACAAGTTGTTCTGCAGCTTAGCTGTGCACTGTGTAAAGAATAAGTTGGGGAGGTGGGAAGGTTACACCTGCCTGTTTTCTTGCTGATTGCTTTAATTCATGAGGGATTGAAAGAGACCATAAACAATCAGTGCCTGTAGGCTTTCTGTGCCACTTTGGGAGGTTTTTTGTTTGTCTTTTGGACTAATACCTTCTTTTCCTCTCACTCGTCATATCTTTTTCCATACTTGACAAGTTGAGCTTTCTTAGTTGTAAACATGTTGCAACATTTGTCTCTTCTCAATATCGTTGTTTTCTATCTTGCTTCTTCATCTCTACCCCTTCTTTTCCAGTTACTCATATTTCACTGTCCCTTACTGTCAAATTACATATACTCTCCTTCTCTTGAACATGGTATCTTCTACTTTTCGGCATGTCCAAAGCTTTTTTTTCTCCCCAGTGATGTAGCTCCAGTTATTAATAGAATGTGAGATTCTTAAACTGTAGGACAGCATGAAAAGGCTCTGAACAACCTTGTTCAGTTATTCTTGTGCTCTTCTTCACCTCTCATATGAGCTTGACTTAATAATTCAGTGATCAAGACTTCTCACTTACTGTGTTTTGACTATTGTGTGAAATCAACTGCTATTTTGATGGGAACTGTTTTGTTGGGTTTTTTTTAATTCAGGTGCGAAAATTCCGGGAGAGTAGAAAAAAGAATGCCGAAGAAGAAGATGAGGAAGTTCGTGAGGTAAGTTCTTTGAATTTTGAACATAGACTGAAGAATGGAATGGTGACTTCTGCATATGAGTGAAGTCACTGAGCAATACTTTAACTTGTCCTTGCCAAAAAGTGCCTGTCTGCCTAGGGCAGATTAGTAAGTCTTTTTTAAATCTTCCTCGGTATAATATGTGTCTAAGCTACTGATCGATTTGGCTTTTGAGATCTCTTTTCTTGTGCAAATTTGTGAACCTGAATATCCGATTGTTCTTACTTTGAACTGAGTTTAGACCAGGCAGGTGACTTTGAGAGATCTCTCAGCTTAAACTCTTTGTGATCCCATCACCAGTGGACATGTGGATGGGCTGTATTCAGTGATATTACTGGAACAAATTGGTGTTATTGATAAACCTTTAGGTACTGTTGTCCTCATCAGCAGTGTTAGATCTTAGAGTCTTAGATCTCCCAGACAGTCATATCTAGATTGCGTTTGTTTTTCTAAAGAGAATTATAAATCACTGACATTGATACTCATTTCCCTTTGCAAGCTTTATGGGACTGGAATGAAATTTTGAGAAAAAAGACACCTGAAGTGAGATTCAGTTGTCCTAATCTGAGATACCTTCACATGAACTAGTTATCTTAAGCACCCGCTGTCATCCATGAAGATCAAGGCAAAGGAGCCCAGAGGGTGCTTCCTCTGAGCAGATGTACATAGCTGACGTAGGATGACCTGAGCTGTTCACCAAACTCCACTGACAATGTATCGTATTAACTGGCTCCATTCTGTTATCAGAGCTTAGCTAACTACTTTGTATGTCCACACCTAAATTAAATAGACTAAATACTGTCCCTGCTTTTTGACAGACTTCGTTGCCTTCCATAATGCTGTGGATTTAGGTCTTCTAAGCCTCAGTGGTAGAACTACTTACCAGAACTGGGATTTACCAATGGTGCGTTTCGTCATTTAACATTCTTTTTCTATAGCACTTATTGCTCCATTTTAGGCGATGACCAGGGCTAGAGCCCACAGATCTGAAGATGCAGTTCTTGTCACAGCCTCCAGTGATGAAGAACTCATGGATATGGGAATGAAAGGCACTGGTGATTCAGATGATGGCCTTCCTGCAACACTGAGCCGAGGAAGGGGTTGGGCAAGAGGTAGGGCAAGAGGCGCAAGAGGACAAAATTCAAGAGGTCAGAATTCATCGGCAAGAGGTTCATCTCGAAGGGGAAGAGGTAAGAAAAACTTCATATTCTTTGTACTGCAGTCACTGACTTTTTTTTCTTTAAAAGGTCACTCTCTTCTGATGCTTCCATCAAGTGGAAATTTGTTGTTTAAGGACTCTTACTGGAAAAAAAAATTCTTCACAAATATTTTTGGTATCATATTACATATGGTTGACTGCCTTACGAGGCTTAAGTTGTGACTTTTTCACAGGGTGATTAAAAGAAAAATATCTTGCTTCCCAACTATGGAAACATCGTAGACTCTTAAAAGATACATTATTGGGAAGGTCTGTGCAATGAAGTGCATGGATAAACCTTTGTTACTGCTAAAGGTAATGCATTTGATCAGTATAGAGAGGAGGTGCAGATTGTCTCTGTAGTAATGCAATTTAGAACAGACTTCATTGTTTTTAGTGACTGAGAAAATGGAGAGTGTTTCCTAAGCGAAATGAATTAAATACCTCCTTGGCTATGTGTGATTGTGTCCTTTACAGTGATCGCAGTACTGCCATTATATATGTATTTCCATTATATATAAATATATATATATATAAGTAAAAAAAGAAAAGATGGGCTCTTGCAGTAATATACTCCTTTGAGTTATCTCAGTAATACGCTCAAAGGTCTAAGAGCAGGATGAGTTGAAACAAAAGCAGTCATCTTAGGATTTGGTTAATGCCTTTTAACTAGTTCTGTGAGCGTGTGCTTCAACACTGTTGTGATCCCATCAGAGCAGGGGGTGCGTGTGTGTCGGGGGGGACGGGTGTTAAGAGGCTGTGCCTGTGGAGCTTTGAATGCTTGACCCAGAGCAGTTCTTCTGCATGTAAGGAGGGCTTTGATTCAAGGAAGAAAGTGAAGGAATAAAAAGGAATGTAGGTTTTTAAGTGACTTCCCACTCAGTAATGATAGACCAAAGGGGAAAAAAAAATAGCCACTGAACAAATTTACATATTGTTTATTATCCCTACAGGAAGCACTAGCCAAGAGTCAGCTACTAGCAGCAGAACCTACAAGCCTGTATCTGTGCCTGCCAAGAATATGTCTATCGTGGATGGTAGGCCTTCAATCTGTCCATTGTGCTAATCTGTTCTCTCTCAAATTGTAATGAAGGTCTTTATTTAGTGATGAAGTGTCTTAATTGCCTTTATTTCTATTAGTTCTATTCAGCTGTGAGAGATTCTTTTGATTCTAATGAAATAGAGTAACTAACAGTGATGAGAGAAAGAAAAATGGAGGGGGG